TGTCTTGCTATAATTCAGGCTGGCCTTGAACTCAGTTTATACCCAGGCTGGCCTCACACTTGCAGTGATCCTCCTGCCTCAGCATCCCAAGTGCAGGGGTTATGTATGCCATCGTGCCTGTCCAAGACTTAAGAATTTTTAAAAATGTGTTTGCATTTCAATATTTCAGGAGATGTTACGACTCAGATAGCTCTTCAGCCTGCACTGAGATTCAATGGTGGAGGTCACATCAATCACAGTATTTTCTGGACGAACCTGAGCCCTAATGGTGGTGGAGAACCCAAAGGTTAGTATATGTCAGTACCCTTTGTAAATTTTGTGCACAATGGAAATGGTTGTTGATTTTCTTTTTCTTTTTTTTCATCTTTCTTTGGGAGGTTGCTGGGAGCAAATAAATGTAGGATCTCCTGCATGTCAAGCTCTTACTGTACCACTGAATTATATCCCCAGCAGATTGTAATTTTCTTAGTAAGGCATCTAACAAAGTGGTAACTTTTGAAGGGAAAGAGTAGGAATGGAGAATGCATTCAGGGACTTACATTATCAGGCTTTACATACACACATACAGAACCATCTCATGGTTTAAATTTTTTTTTTCCTGTACCAGGAATCAAACTCAGGACTTTGTGTTTGCCAGGCAGGTGTGACGCTGCTGAACTAAACCCTGGCCTGGTCATATTTTAATTATTAAGGAAAGAACCTAGGCATCATGGGACATGCCTATAATACAGCACTTGGGAAGCTGAGGCAGGAGGATCACTGTGAGTTTGAGGCCACCCTGGTCTGTATAGTGAGTTCAGAGCCAGCCTGAACTACAAAGTAAGACCCTATCTCAAAAACCAAAAGAAAAAAAAATATGAAGGAAAGACTGAGCAGCCTAGTTTTTAGAAAAGATGAACTTTATATTTATTAGCCTCAGGAACTCTGGGATATGATACTTAACCATCTGTGCTGTTTATGAGATAAAGGGTTAATAATGGGGCTGTTTTCAGAATTACATGTAAAGTGCATAGACTACTGCATTTTATATTATTTTCCTGATTAAAAGTCATTTGTTGCACACCTGTAATCCTAGCACTTTGCAGGCTGAATAGGAGGATGGTGACTTTGAGGTCAGCCTGAGCTACATAGCAAGTTTCAGGCCAGCTAGAGATACCTGCTCCAGAAAATTAGGTTTCCAGGTATTTTTTAAAAAAGCGTAGGTAATGAGGGGTATACAGACCAGTTGGTGTAGTTCATTGCTGTTTGTTGTGTGACTTCCTGTGTAACTTGTGGAGGTTCAAGGGACTTCAACTGTCCTCCTTTCCCCAGGGATGATGTGGGGCATGAATACAGCTCTACTACCTTGCTTCTGGGCTCCTTGCACATAACCTAAATTTCTGTGGTTTTATTGTCTGTTTTTAATCAGTATTATTCAAGCATCCCATCTAATGCCCTGGAAATAGCAATTTCCTTTAAAGTAATATTAAATGGGGAAATAAGTCTAAGAAACTGGATAATTTATTCTTTGTGAGTGAGGTCTTTGGACTATACATAATACTTTTGAGGTTTTGTTAATGACCACGATATCAGATCTGCCCATATTCAACCAGTGGTTTTGGCATTCTCTCCCATTTTGCATTATCTGTACCACTTGATTCCCTGGTTGTGCTCATAAAAGATGACTACTTTTCAGTTTGTAGTATAAGAGGAGTGAGGTTTTTGACCCACTGATTTAGTTAGTATGCTCAATCTAGAATTAATTCTATATTGCTGCAGAATACAAAGATTATAGCTTTTTTTTTTCCTTTATGTTCCAGTGCTGGGAGTCAAACCCAGGGCCTGTACCTGCGAGGCAAATGCTTTACCACTGGGCTACAATTAGAGCTCTTAAAGTATATACTCTTAGTTCAGTAACAGAAAAGAAAATGACCCTTTTAAAGTCAAATATGGTCGAGATAGCCTTGTAGAACTGAACAACTGTAACTTTTGGAGCGGGTGCTTAGCAGGGATTGAACTCAGGACTTTGGGCTTGCAAGGCTGGCACAGTGCTGCTGAACTAAATCCCTGGATCAAACAACTATAACTTTTTATTTCCAAATGAGGACATAGATAAGTTGGGTAGAAGTCAAAGTAAAAATTTCTGTTGAAGGAAAAAATAAAAGGAAGCCAATGGAAAATATTACTTCTTTACTGATGAAAATAGCACAGTGAGTGAAGAAATCTTTAGCTTCCTTAGAAACACATGAATTAAAACTGAAACCTCAGGTACTGGTGTTGGGCAGGAGGAATACAAGTATTGGATTATATGTACATATGTACATATTGGATTATATGTATCTTTTGTATGATGTCCAGTTTCTTGGGCCATATATCAGGGATATTTTCTTATATGTAATAGAATATTTTATCATAATTGTTGAAATCTGTTTGATTTTTTGATATTTTAAAATAGGGGAATTATTGGAAGCCATCAAGCGTGACTTTGGTTCCTTTGACAAGTTTAAGGAGAAGCTGACAGCTGTGTCCATTGGCGTCCAAGGCTCTGGGTGGGGCTGGCTTGGTTTCAATAAGGAGCAGAGGTGCTTACAAATTGCTTCCTGTTCTAATCAGGATCCGCTGCAAGGAACAACAGGTTAGATTTGAAAATTATTGTTCATTTCATTTGGAAGATGTGGTTTACTATAAAGCATTTAGATAGAAGTAAGAAAAAGTAGCAATGTTTAAACTTACCCCAAACTTGTAATAGCCTGAGCACATCTTAACAGATAATACCCTGAGTCTTGTCTAAGTAAAATGCTGTAAAAGTCCTTGATGTTTTGTAAGATAAGCACAGGTAATTTTGTAGATAACATCAACAAAAGTGTTTTAATCATAAAGCTATGTTGCTCTACAGAGAATTAACATCAGTTTAAATAATTCTGTGGACTAAAATAAAAAATTAAAACTAGGTAAACAAGAGCAAGGAAAAGAAGTAGAAGCTGAGCCTGACTTCAGAACTTGTATTCTTCCTCTCTTTGCTGAGCTCTTCTGGTTAAACTGAGATTAGAATTAAAATTTCTAGACTTCTGCCTTTCTGGTTTTCTTTGGTATATGAAAATATTTGGCTTAGAAACTCCAAAACAGGCTCAGCAAATTTTGTATTTCTGTGGAGCCTTATTGAATTAGAACTCTTTATAAAATGCCACTGAAGAGTGTAGGAAGTAGAGTCATAAGTCAGAGGCGGTTAGCTGGGCCACTGATCTCTGGTACAGTGAATTTAAAGCAGTACCTTTAAGTACTGGGCACCAGCAGTTCTTTGCCACCCTTCCCACCTGTACCCATGACTTAAGATTCTTCCTTATACAACTCATTTTGCTACATATATTCCTAATTTGCCAGAATCTAAACAGTCCTTTGGGAAAGTGAGATGCCATAAGAATCTACAAAAGATTTATGAGCACCCACTGCTGTAGAGACAGATGTATCTCCTAAGGTACTTGATGTAAAGACTGTGATTTCTATGGGAATCCCAGCTACCTTTGCCTCGTGAAGAAAGCCCACTGGAATGACAAGTCATACCTTTTTTCTTTCTTTCTGGTACCGGGGTTCAAACTCAGGACCTTGTGCCTGTGAGGCAAGCATGGCATGGCGCCACTGAGCTAAATCTCCAGCCCCATGACAAGTCATATAACTTTTAAATATGGAAAAAAGTGTTCAAATACTTTATTAATAATAAATTATTAGTGATATCCATCACAATTGGTGAAGATATCCTGGTTGAGAATTGTTTTCATAGGAGTTTGAGAGTTTAAAAAAATGTTTTATAGGTACAGCTAAATTTTTTATTTATACTATTTATGAAAACAGTCTCTTTAGTCCTATGTAGCATTCCTTGTTAATTTACTCTTTTTGGGGGTGGGGAGGGTACCAGTGATCAAACTCAGGTCCTTACACTTGCGAGGTAGGCGGCAGAACTACTGAGCTAAATCCCTGGCCCAATTTACTCTTTTTACTGGTGCCTTATAAGTGGTGCATATACTCTAAAAAATTAGCCTTGGAAGAAGAGTAGATTCCTTTGGGAAGAGATACTCAAGGCCTCAGCCACTCCACAGATGGTATTCCTTTACGGTGGGCTCTGAGGCCTTTGGGGCGGAAGGGGGAGTAGAAATTGGCTCTTGGTTCATTCTACTGCTATTTTAAGAACAGCTATTAAAATATTGCAGTGGTTTTCCTGAGTCTCTTTTAAATATTTTTACTGTCACATTTTTTTCCCAAAGTATAGTCTAAAATCTCTTTATAGGAATATTGTTAAGCAGATTTGCTGTTACGTAAGGAACAGAATGGATGAGTTTGTTATAAAGGATAATTTTGTGTGTAAGGACTAGTAAAAGTTTTAAATCAAGAAGCTGCAGTGCTTTATATTGAAATTTAAAGTTTTTACTTTTTTCTTTTTTCTGATAGGTCTTATTCCACTGCTGGGGATTGATGTATGGGAGCATGCTTATTACCTTCAGTATAAAAACGTTCGACCTGATTATCTAAAAGCTATTTGGAATGTGATCAACTGGGAGAATGTAACTGAAAGATACGTGGCTTGTAAAAAGTAAATCATTATCAGTATACTGAGTGTTAAGCTCTTTATGACTATTACAACTATTTTTATAATAGTATAGAGTACTGCAATATACTACTATATTATAGCATTTATTGATGTTGCTTATTCACATGTTTGATAATTTACTGTTATGAATAATTTCTTATTTCCAAATTTTGTTATTAAGCAACTTTGAAGATAGTACTTTGTGTGATTTAGTCTTGATTAAACATTTTTTTCAGAGAGCTACAATTGCTAGGTTATTATATCATTATAAAATCTTTAAAAATATTCCAGACAGTTTTGGGGTCTATAGGGAAGCCTTTGTAATCCTATTTTGTTATAGATACAGAAAAATCTAATCTTTTCCCCCAGGTGGTTAACGGTAAAATAGAAAATTGAATATTTCCCTTTACTGTTGAAGAGTGCTCTTTTTGTAAGTTTCTGTCTAGTGGCACTTCAGTAGATGTGACTCAGTAGGCTTTATTGTGGTCACATGTGCATGCAGTTAATGCCATTTTTGTCATTCAAAAACATGAAACTTGTGGCTGGGAAAGTAGCTCATTGGAAAAGCTGTTTCTTGCTATGCACAAAACTCTGGGTTTGATCCTCAACACTGTAGATAAATCACTCTAAAAAACCAGTGTAACTTGATTGTTAGTTGGGAATTGCTTTACCATGAGGAGGTAATTATGCATTTGGATTTTTCTAGAGACAGAAGCATAATTTCATGTGAATTTTGTCCTTAATGTAGAAATATGTATTGTATAAAAATGTTCAGGAGGGACAAATGAGGGCCTGAAGATTGGTAACATCAACAATGTGGGGGCTGGGGATTTAGCTCAGTGGTGCTGTACTTGCCTCTAAAGTACAGGGTCCTGAGTTTGATCCCTGGTACTGGGGGAAAAAAAAACAGTGGGGATTGTGCCACAAGGCATTCTGCTGGGCACTTCCCCTGCTTTTAGGGCCATTACTATGCGTCCCTCTCATGAAAACTGGGCCTGGGCCAGATACCCCCTTCCCAGTAGATACTTGTCTCTGGATGATGTCAGCAGTGTGTGTCCCTCAGAACATTATTTTCAAAGATATGTTGTTGATTTTTTCTGTCCTTTGTGATATTTTTGTTTTCTTTTAAAGAACTTATAGCCACTGTAGAAGCATTGTATTGTTTTTCAATAAAGGAAAAATGTCTGTAATACAGTATTTCAGATTATGTTCCTTTGCAGTTTTTGCACACCAGACTGTTCACTGTTTCAACGTAGTAGATGTTCTTTTTGTATTTGGCTTACCATTGTCCTGCATTTCCCATGTTGACTCATCATTGAAGCTCTTCCAATGTGATGTTCTGCCTGACTGTGGCCCCAAAGTGATGAGGCCAGGTTTTTCATGGACTAATAATACCTCTGAAATCATGAAACAAAATAAGTCCTCCTTTAAATTGTTTTTCTCAGGTATTTTGTCAAGGCAAATGGAAAACTGACAAGCATATTGGGTTTGGTTCTAAAGTTTCAACAAATCAAACAGAACCTTTTGAGCTTTGGCAGGGATTTAAGATTTGCACCAAGTGTAATAGAAGAAGGAGGTAAATTCACCGAGGGATTTAGATAAGGTACTTTCCTTGTACAAGGCACTGAGAGATTGTGTGAAATAATTGAAAGAAAAGTAGTTCCTTTTATTAAAGAAGGAAAAGTCAGTAAAACAATCAAAATGTAATTATTTTCAGCAACTCCAACCCCCTCCTCACATATATACCAAATTAATTATTTTTCAAACACACCAGGCATTTTCATATCTAGTATTTCTGCATAGTCATTCTAAGTATCTCTGAAAATTCAGCTTCTCCTGAATTTGCAGATCTCTCCAGTGAGAGTTAATCCCTTCTTTTGCAACTGGACTATTTTATTGTATCCTATTTGATTGTGCATACTCCAAAAACAGATATTATATCTTACCCTTTGATTAAAATTTCTCAATACTTGTATCTTGTTTTGAATCTTCTCAGTGCTTTACCCAGACCCTTACCCATAACAAGAATGTAATTTTGGAGGCTGGGAATTTAGCCCAGTGGTTCTGCCGCCTGCCTTGCAAGCGCAAGGTCCCGAGTTCAATCCCCAATACCAAAAATAAAAATAATAAAAAAAAGAATGTAATTGTTTTTTCCTTTTGTGGAGCTACAGTCCCAAGACCCTGCCCTTCTATTTTTAATACAGGGTCTTGCTAAGCTGCTCAGCTTGGGCTCAAACCTGTGACCCACCTGCCTCAGTGTCCCAGAGGGCTGGGATTACAGGCATGCACCACCATGCCTGCCCTAATTTGCTTTTATCCAGTAGAGTGATGATAAACCTTCTAGAGCTTTTAATGATTAAAAAATAGCTGTGACAAACATGCCATAGATTTGCCACCACTCTATGACTAGACTGTGAGCCACCTGAGAGACGAAATGGGATCTTTTTATCCACTGTAACTCTAGCAGTACCTGTCTTATGGGAGGTACTTAAACTCTTGTAGGGGAAATTTGTGACCAGAATGAGCAGACTTGGATTCACTTGGCTCTCTGCCATTTGCTCAGTTATGGCTTATGTCTAGATTCCTCCAAAGCCTCACACAGTCATAAGTGGGGCTTTTCAGAGGTGACTGGATCAGGGTGTGTAATGCTGGGATTAAGGGCATCCTAAATTAGTTAACTGATTGATTTAGCATAGTTCTGAGTGTGGATAATGGGAAAGCCTACCTGGGGTATGGGTGGCATTACCTGAAAGGCAAGTGGCCTGAAAGGGATAAAAGGGAGAAGCAAGCTGCTGCTGCCACCGCCACTGCTCTTGCTGTTTGCTACTTGTTGCTTCCTGCCTGCATGCCATGAACTGTTTCTCCTCTGCGATTCCCCTTTGCCATGCCACTCTGCCTTGAAGTCAGCCAATTATTGACTGAAACCTCTACAAACTGAGCTAAAATACACCTTTCCTTCTTTAACTTTGGGTGTCAGGTATTTTGTCTCAGCAACAAGAAAAAGTACTGTAACTAAGACACTCATCTTGTGATAAGGACACAGCATTGTACCTTTGCTAAATGTTTCCTGATATATTAAAACAATACCATTCTTTCCAAATTATTGAGATGAAGCTATATAAAATGCTTTAAATAGTGTAAAGTATATATGCTAGTGTGTTAACTTTGAGGTTTGCTGCTAAAAATTATATGGGACATATCCATTCCAAACAATGGTATTTTACTTGTTTGCTACTTGTTGCTCCCTGTCTCCCATGCCGTCAACTGTTTCTCCTCTGTGATGCTCTTCTGCCTTAAAGCCAGCCAACTATGGATTAAAACCTCTACAAACTGAGCTAAAATAAATTTGACCTCATCCCTGGGTAAGGTCCTGGGATGCTGCTCTGCATCACACAATGCACAGACAAGCCCCACTCAACAAAGAATTGTCAATAGTGTGGTGCTTGAGCAACCATGGTTCAAATTTAAAAACAAATGATAGGGGGCCGGGGATTCAGCTCAGTGGTGCCACTGCCTGCCTTGTAAGTGCAAGGACCCGAGTTTGATCCCCGGTAACCAAAAAAAAGATAGGGAAAATACTTTCATTAATATATTTTCCACTAACTAGTATTCTGAGTTTTAGGTATTTTGTATATAGATTGGGAGCATCATACTAATTTTCTTATTGCCTTTGGAATGACTCCCTAACTTTCATAATACCAATGTACTTCTTCCTTGTTTAATCTTTTAGAAACAGTAGTCGACATATAATAGGAATTTCTGGTTTCCTCTCCTAGGCACACAGAGAGCCTGTATTTTCCCATCTCCCATACATGTAGGCAGGGATTTGGGACTGACTGACCAGTCCCTTGTGAATAGAAGTGAGTAGAAGTTAGAAGTTGGTAGAAGTTACTTACCGACCTTGGGAATAGAAGTTCCCTTCTGAAGCATTTAATGTCTCGTGCAGGTTGCTGTGCCCTGGCTCAGTGATTGTGGAAGTGGGGGCACCATAAGAAGGAAGCAGCACGGATTCTGGAGCATCATGTGGTTCACACTTGCACTGGATTTTGTTTATTTATTTATTTATTTTTTGGTACCAGGGTTCGAACTTGGGATCGTGCGCTTGTGAGGCATGTGGCAGAACCACTGAGCTAAATCCCCAGTCTATACATTGGATTTTATATGACCCAAAATTAAGCCTTTTCCAGGTTAAATCACTGCAATTTGAAGGTTGATTGACAATTAAGTTTTAACATGGGTTCACCTGATTACTATTCTACATGAAAGGGAGAATAATACTGGTTGTAGCAAGTGCTTCATATTCACTTAAGCAATACCTGGTACAGAATAGACACCAAAAAAATATTACAGTGCCTAATTGGAAAAAAGGAAAAAAGAAATTTCTAGCTTCTCAGTCCACTTATGAAAAGCAGACTCCATTTAGCTTCATGGTCTTATTTTCAAAGGAGTAGAGTCTGGAAACTCTGACTGAGGATTTGTAATATACTTCAAATATTTTTTTGTTTTGTTTTGGGTTTTTGTTTTTTTCTTTTTGTATCAGAGATAAAACTCAGGACCTTTCGCTTGCAAGGCAGGAGTGGTGCCACTGAGCTACATCCCCAGCCCTTTCAACTTAACATGTACTTAAGTCATGTGCAGCAAATCTTGAAAGCTACTTCATCATCTCGGTGACCCAAAATGCTACAACTACATACCCTGGAAGATTTGTGTGGACACTTCATGATCGTTTGCAGCAAGGAAACTCCAAGGATAATTAGAAATGAGCTACAAGGCAGTTTCTAACACTGTTGAACAGAACTGAGTTTGCAAAGCTTGCCCTCTTGAGACCAAAGGTTTCTAGTCTGTAAATTGTTATATCTGGATAATAAACAGATATTAGTCACTGATGGCTGGGTTCTGTAGCACTACAGAGTGGGAGAGGGCAGGAAACCTGGAACAGGGTGCCTGGGACCTGCTGCTTCCTATCTGTGTCCTCTTTTAGGGAAAATAAAATATAGATAGCAGACCAGTTATATTTAAAGGCTATTCAGTTAATTGTGTTAATACATGTGAAGGGCCTGAGATAATCCAGTATTTGCTTCATAGCATGTGTTCAGATAGTGACCTGATGTTATCTGTAGTGGTCAAATTAGCGCCTGTATCAATTTTTTTATTTTTATTTTTTGTACTCCTTGGTGGCAGAACCACTGAGCTAAATCCCCAGCCCTCAAATAATTTCTTCATAGTGCTGCGTATATTAATGAGACAGCGAGAATGAGCTGCTATTCTTACAGGGTTTATATACTTAACAAGTAATATTAAAAATATTTGAACTAGATAAAATTAAGGTTAGAAGCAGGACTATAATTTACATTGAAATATGTCTTCCAAGTCATATGATTCTCTATATGTCTCTATCAACCATGCAGACATGGAAATCAAAATGTGAAAATATTTACATCTTCTCAGATTAGGTTCTTGAATGATTCAGGGAGAAAAAAGACACTTGTTAAGTATTCTTTCTCTAATACTTCCTATTTTTTTCAAATTTTCAGGCAATCAAATAAATGCTATAATTACTTTATATATGAATGTCATACTGTGGATAAAAGGAGATAAATTGTTTTAAAAATGATTTTAGTGGATCAAAGAAGAATCTTCAATTCACTATAAGAATAAATTGTAAAATTAACTTTTTTGCATTCTCTGGAAATTATAGCAACTAGATAAAATAGTTAAAAAGCACCAGGGATTTAGCTCAGTGGTGCTACCACCTGCCTTGCAAGTACAAATTCCTGAATTCAATCCCCAGTACAAAAAAAACAAAACAAAACAAAAAACAGTTAAAAAGCATTCTATCCACTTATTACTGTAGTATGTCTCCAAAGAATGTGGAATATAAAAAGCAGTCTCCCGGGGCCAGGGATTTAGCTCAGTGGTTCCACCACCTGCAGTCTCCTAAATTGAGAAGAGATTATAATTGTACAGTATTTGGATCTATCACACCAAGATATTATATCATCCTGCCATTACAGAAACAGAAAGCATTAAATAGAATTGTCCAAACTGGCTAGAATTTTGTTTATATTTTGCCAAGCTTTCCTATATTAACAGTTGTAAAGTACATGCAATAAACATAGAATTAAAATGGTTAAATAAGCATACATCTATGAAAAATATTGCAAAAATTATCTGATACATTTAAAATACGTAGCACACATACAGTAATTGCTAGTAATAGGGATAGGCAGGAGCAGAGGCAACTGGGAGCTAAGTGGCATCCCAAGGT